GCCCGCCCAGAGAAGCTGGAGGTGGAGTTGAGCACCATCACCTCGGAAACTCATCTGATGTTCCCAAAAGGTTCATTGGATGACCACCGTTTGCAACTCCTAGCACGTCCCAGTGGGTTGAGGCCCCCATCATGAAGTGATTTCAAGCACTCGACTTGATGGCCTGGTGGATCATCTCCGGGTAGAAGTCTTGCACGATGCCCAGCAGGCTCCTCAGCCCAAGAAAGAAACGCGCGCAAACGCGCGCTTCAACAATGAAAACGAAACAAAAATGCACTGTCAAAGGAATCATGACCATGGACTGTGGCTCACATGGACTTTTATGGTTGAATCACGCTCCCGAATGGCTTGTGGTGCTATAAAAGGGTCCATGTTCGAAGTGAGGCCCGCCCAGCTTTCTTTTTTCGCGGATGTTGGATGCCAGGGGCCCCGGCTTGATCTTGGAAAGCTGGCTGGCTCCTTCGGAGAGCAAGGTGGTGACGGCAGCGCCGTTCATGTCCCGGATCTCGACGGAGAGGGGGCAGCTTCTTTCTCTCGGCCCCAATTCTCTTCAAAAAAAACTGAAGACAGAAAATCTGAAGAAACTCGAACAAAAGATGTGCTTTTATGTTTGCTTGCTTCATGTCTTCGGGTTTCGGCCTGTTCAGCGCTCTCCGACCCTTTCGGAAATCGCTCGAGTTCCCGGAACGCTACCACGCGCCCATCGGATGTCCTATGTCCGGCGCCGTTGGCTCAGAGAAAGCCAAAGAGCCATAGAGCGGAAGACAAGACAGGCCGTCTGGCCGTTTGCACCCAAGCTGAAGACTTCAAAGTCACCCAGAAAGTCTTTTGTTAAAAAGAAGACCTATGTTCGGAGCACATGATTTCTACGGCAAAGGCTCCTCGGCCCAGACGCGTCAGACAATAATCGGTACGCGTTGGACTTCCGGCCTCGAAGTACTTCACCATGCGCCGCCTCGAAAAAGTGAAACCGCCATCTGCCATCCTCTTGACGCACGTTGGACCAAAAAAACAACCCCCAAGTCTGAGCCCATGGAAGCAATCGGACGTGAAACAACAAAACAAAGCACAATGACTGGCCAGTCTCCAAGTTTTGAACTTCCAGACGCGCTCCCACCCATTGAACTGAAGCGCTGCTTCTTGCTCATGTTGTGGAGCACCAGCCATCGCTGCTCCAGCTGTGCCAGCAGGAAGTCGTCTCCTTAAAGTTCAGAGGTGTCACGTCAAAAACTGGGGATCCCGAACATGGTGGCGGTTCCCCTTGGTTTCCCTTCAAACCCGTCAAACAGGCAAACAGAAGCAATGACTGCCTCTACTTTGATTCAGCCCCCGGGGCATGTTTCAGAGGGTTACCAAAGGGAAACCAACCATTTTGAGCGTCCACCTTGGAGGCAAACCCTGAAGGCTAATCGGGACAAGTCTCTAGCCTGGTCGCCAACCTCGGATTGCCAGGCACAGGTGACAGCATGTTACGGCACTGCCCATCATCCGAGATGCGGCATCCAGCGACTTGAAGTCCGTCAACCGGACCTGAACCCGTCCATCACAGGCTACGTTGAAAACCCAGCAAAAACAAACAAATGCGAGGCGCGATGGAGGAGATGATCGGCAGCGCGTCCATAGAACGGCCGTTGAGCGCTCTCACTGGAAAGCAACTCAGCCTCAAATCACGGATCTCACCCAGCTCATTTTCAGTTGCAAGCTCTGGCCAGTTGCCCATTGACCCTGCGGGTTGACTCCATGTTGAGAGAAAAACCCAAAACAAAAGGAAACTGTTACTTTCGGGCCGATACTCGATTTCAATTAGTAGTTTTAGGGTCCAAGTGAAGAGCGCCCAAAATCCATTGACCTTCTACGAAAATAGTCCCAAAACATCACACAGGCTTCACTCTAATCGCACAAAAAAAAAGGAAGAAAAAGAAAAGAAGAAAAAACAAAAACAAACAGAAGGATGGGACATGCCCCGAATTGCATCAGTGTCCGGGGCTTCTGGGGTCCCCGGCAGCTCCTCGGCCCTGGGCAGAACGCCGAGGTCCACCTCGGTGCAGTCCTGCAACGACGCGCGCACCTCCTTGATCGGTGTCCGACTGATCAGGTCCATCCTCAGGGTTTCACGCCGGCCCCAAGGTGTCCCAAGGTATCTGTGCGTTGCGACTGTCACCATCCCCCTGGATGAAATGGGCTTGGATGCATAGTCTAGATGAAATGGGGCGTCTGACCCCCATGTTCAATTGTCATTTCACTTTCTAACCCCCATATTAGATGGGTCAAGCATTTTGTGTAAGCCATTTACAAGAACTCTTTGGTCATTTAGAACCGTCCAAGCAAAACTGAAGGAAAATACGGCCCCAGTCTAAGCCGCCCTGGTAGAACTAGTGTTCACGTGCCTTCCCCCCCTTTGAAAGCACAGATCAAGTATTGAAAACTGGAATGATGGAATGATGGAAGATGTTAGAACACTAAACTTAGGAGCGACCATATTTTGGGGACTCGTCTCATCTCATTTTTCAATTTCGATGTTTATGCTTCTGGTGGTGAAGTCAACATCCATGTTCGATTTATGAATTATGTCCGTCAAAGTACGTTTAAAAAATTTAAAAAGAAAAATGACCAGTTTCTCTAACCTACGCAATATTATAGCTTCGGGCGTACGGGGTACATTCATCATGGAAATCACAGCTTGAAGATCCCTTCGAAATATCTGAGGCGGAACCCTTAAAAAAGGACGACTCTATATTGCAACAGGACAATTTTGCAACACAGGGGGTGGAATGATCTCACCACTTTGTTGCAGATTCGCTCCCGCCCCCCCCCCCCCACGCCGAGCCCTCAAGATTGAACAGGAGGGCAAGGGGGTACGTCCCCGTTGCTCATTGATTCATTTGTTGCATTTGCCCAAGGTTGTCCATGCCACACGCAAACGCACATTGACAGTTGACAGTCAAAAAGATGGAAAGAAGCAAACGCTAAACCCGAACCAAAGCAACCGAGCCGACTGTAGCCAACCCCTGGTCGGCTTCTAAGGTAAAGCAAATCAAATGATTGTTCAAACAATGGTTTGATTGAAGAGGCTGCCCCAACCCTGCTTGAGACCCGAGTCGTTTTGCTTTCCACTGCCTTGCCAGCCGGCACGAACCGCTCCGAGCCCAATCGCAACGTCCGAACGCCCGCCCAATGCCAAGGATCCGATATTCGACGGCCTCGCAAAGCGAAGCAAGCGACAAATCGTGAAAGCCGCACTCTGCTCCATGCCTTCAGCATGTATTTCGCAGCCTCCTCCGGATTCCGCCCATGACCTGCGGTCCCAAGTGCTGCCAAATACTGGGTGGTAAACTAGGTGTCAACGCGAAACCCTCCATGGGATCGCCTAGAGACAAGGTAAGAAACCCTAAAGTTACCCAATGACACTCCAATCCCAAGCTTCCCGACGCCTCTTAGAAAGCGGCACATGCACAGGTCGTCCACCAGATCCTCGCGACTTTCGGGGCCAGTGATTGTCCGCTCCGCTGGAGCTTGGGGTTTGTTGGAATTGCATAAGGAGAACATCCCCTGTCCTCCCAGGTTAAACGGCTCACACCAGGCAGTTCAGAGAGTAAAAGATGTGGGGATGGCAACTTCGTCTAAGCTCTATGTTAGATGGATCAAAAGAGTGAGCCTACTCTTCTCACAACAAATGTTGGTCGAAGGTCCAAGCAAAACTCCAAACAAAAAAGCGAAAGCAGCCTGGTCTAACCTTTTCTGCCGGGAAACATCTAAAAAGTTGTTCTTGCTAAACCAAGTACAGGAAGGCCGCGAAAACCGTACCAAATTGAACAAACTGAACTCTGTAAAAACCGAACCGGTTTAGGAACCAAACCGCGCGCGATGTGTGACAAGGCTGAACCGAGCCATCCAAGGAAGACAATTCTAGACCAGAATTTCAACTTCGGAGAAGTGTCGCAGATTGGCATATTGCGGTGGCCCAGCTTGTCTCTGGCGCATCAGCTCCTCTCCCAGCTCCTCTCCCAGGACGCTCGGGTGCGATATAGTCTTAGATTCCCACAACCAAATTGAGTACTGCCAATACCAATCTAGTCTTTTCCCAAACATAATCTTACATTCCCAATGCTTGTTTCAGTATTGCCAAAGTTTGTCTTGTTTTGGGAATGTAAGAAGAAGCATTGCCAATACTAAAGTTGGTCGTGCCAAATACTAATCAAGAATAGTGAATCTAAGATTAGGCATGGAAAATATACAATATGTTTTAGTGTTGGGAATCTATAATTAGGTATTCGCACACAATACTAAATGCAGTAGTAGCAGTATTTGGACTCTAAGGCTAAGTCTTAGCAATGTTCCCGACAGTAGCGTTCTCTTGAGCAGTTTTGGGGGGTAGTCTCTCGTGACCTGTCTGAAAAAGATTGAAATTAATATGTTCTTTGATTTGTTGAGTTTTCTGATTCGGCCTCTCTCTTCTCAGACCCATTTAGATATCTATGAGATGGCCCTTACTTTTCTTGTCCAACCCCACCTCTCGGACATCTATTGGTTAAGCTTGCTTGGACATCAACGATTTGGTCTGAGGCGACCAATTCCATAGCATCAGTCGGACAGGGCATGGGACGCCCTCATGATGCTCGACTCGGCCTCGGGGCAGTCCAGGGGCCCCAAGATGGACCGCATCCGCTCGATCAGAGGCTCCTGCGGTTACACAGGAGCCGCAGGAGCCGGGGGTGGGAGTGAGGCAATGGGGTGGGGGCCTTGGGACGCCTCGCCTCCTCCTTCTGAATCCACTCCAATTCCTTCTCCATGGCGCGGCCAAGGAGACTCGCACAAAGGACGGTACAAGTCCAGTGGACTCAGAGAGTTGCCTGTGAGATCCGCTATGCTGATGATGTAAGGGCACAAGGCGCTCGCAAAAAGACACACATCAGCTACGAAACAGCTGCAGGATCCTAATAAGCTGCTCCTCGTTGGCACCTATCCCTTCCACCCCCTTCCCAGGTTTGCGAGAGCGCGGCATTCTTCAGCTTGTAGTAGATGGAATTCATCGTTGCACTTCCACAGCCTGACGTAACGGACAATATCGCAGCAGAAGGCACCATTCTTCCGTTCTCCAGGTCTGGGGTGAATTGAGGCCAAACCGGGCCTGGGTAACTTTGGCTTTGACAAACAGACCCGGCCCCATTGAAACCTAATGTGGCTCAAACCGCAGTCGTCGCTGCAACATGTTTGAACAACGGGTTGGCCACTTGGGCCAAACCCAAAACAGCGCATCAGAGTAGGTCCGTATGAGGCCCCCTGGCGCGTATCTCGAAGTTGCTCGCCGAACATGTCCTGCGGCAATCCGTGAGGCGGGATTTTGGTTCCCGTTGGCCCGAAAGACTTTGGACTCGGAATGCACTTTCCGTGGCTTCTCTCTTTTTCTGCCTGCTCAAAGGGCATGTCCCCAGTCATCAGGATGTACCTCAAGCTCAAAGAGGCTGGCAAAAGCCGTGAACCTGGGTCAAACTACCCAAAAAGATGTGGGAGATGGCCCCAAACTTGTGGGTGATTGCAACAGCATAGCGTAGTTAGAGTGTCCAGGGTGGACCCAAGTCCCTTCATTGATCGTCAGGGGCGCAGGATCACGCCCACACTCCACAGGTCGGACCTCGGACTCGGCAATCCGAGTAAGCGGAATCGTCCAATCTCCCAAGTCCCAAGGCTTGGAAAGGGAAAAGCTGACTGGGGCTCGGGGCTCGGGGCTCGGGGCTCGGATCCTGTTGACATCCGAAAAATGGATCCGGCACCGGTTTTGGGGGCGCGGCGCGGGCGAGTACTCGCCCTGCAGGGCCTCCGGGGCGAGGTAGCCTCAACTCGCGGAAGCGCACGGGGCGAATCCTCTCGAAGGCCGATCTAAGCCGCTTGCCCAGCGTGCCGACAACGTGCTTTGCCCTCGGGGACTGGGGCTCGTACCTGGCTCAAAGCATGAGCACCCTCTCACCGATTCAAAATTCAGCCTGTTGACTTCAAGATCAGAATGGGTATGAGATTCGTTGGGGGACGCTTTTGATGATAGGGCTTGGAGGCGCTGCTCCATTGGTTCCCCGGCCACGTGTTGGATGGCTTCAAGGGCGAACCCCAAAACTAGGTGCCAAAATAGGGGGTTCTCCCATCGAAATTCACGGCACATATGCCATGTCGGGCACTCCAAGCAAGTGTCGAAGTCTATCAGCTTCACCGCCCTCGCTTCAATCCCCGCCGATTCCCACATCATGCGCCCCCTGGCTCCAGGTCACCTCCATTATCCAGGGCCATGGAAAATGGAGATAGACAAAAGCCAAAGAAGATGGATCAATGTGTTCGGTGCATCTAGGCCCGTGGCTTCTTTGCCGCCTGCGTCTTCGGAGAGTTCGGCTCGTTGGAGGTGTCGTGAAACATGATGTTCTCCGGCCTTGGAGAAAAACCCATGACATCCTCAAACTTAGCCAAGAAAGCCATGGTTCAGAGGAATAACCGCCAAAGCAAAGTCTTGAGAAGAACTCGACATGCCGTGCAACCTCTCCAGTTGCCAAGGCCGCAGCTTGATGTCACGGTGGATGAGACCCCTGGCCACTGCTCGAGTCTCAACCTACGCTTCGATGTATATCAGCAAAAATAAAGTTTGGACAACCAGACACTTGAAAGCCAAAAAACAGCTTTTGAGATTCAAGGGGTGCCTCCGCGCGTTTGGACTCTCCCAGAGGGTTTGTTTCCACCACCCCTCAAAACCACTACCCCCAAGGAAACAAAATGGATATACAGCCACTATATAGCAACTGCTGCATATTCTCTTGGGGAAAGGGTTGGGGGTGGTTTGGCCCTTATTTTCCCACACACACACACATGCGCGCCTAGAGTGTATGTGATCCACCGCCTCGAGAATCTCGCGCATGATCCGCTTGCACTCCCTCTCTGGCACATCCTCATGTCTCGCACAGCTCTATGTCTCCCTTAATGGAAGGGGGAACTAAAAAGATGGGTTTCAACTTCGATTTGAGCCTTTTTCGCAGTCTTAAATTGCACAGGATGGGATTAGACCCAAACAAAGCAGATCGCCTGTCCCAGTGGAATGCTGCGGCAATGGATATGTGTCAAAGCGAAAAGGGGGCTTCACTTTTTGAGATTGGCTTCTCAACACAAAACCAAGTCGCTGAATCGATGCACATTGTCGCTGCTGTGCTGCGTGCTGCAGCTCGCGAAAAAATGTCCGCTAAAGCCGCGTTATTTAAACACGAATTATCCTTCCTAGGCTTCCTCGGTGTTTGTTATGAATCGGGTACGTTTTTCCCCACCTACCATAGGACCCTCCCCCCGGCAAAGTTCTTGGCCTCGTTGGCTCCTCCGCCAATTTTTTTTCTCCAACCACAATGCGGGACACTGCTCCGCAGGAACTTTTTTTTCGTCCTCGCCAAGCGTTGAAAGCCAAAATTAGTCCACATATTGCAAACATGTTTTCAATTTTGTATGCTATGTCCAGGCCTCCTACGGGGCAGAAAACAGCCAACAAATAGCCTATGTAAGGCCCCCAATAGTGTAACATATATGCACACCTCAAATATACAATTCGTTCTGTTCAGCTCCCATGAGAATCCCAGCTTACCGACACGTAGCAATGCGCAAAGGCCCTCCAATTGGTCCAACGCTGAACCCGAATTAGATGGTTTGTGATCAAATCTACCAAGCAAGGCAGCCGTGTTGTCTCACGGCCGGCCGGTCCAGTGCGGCTTACTTTCGCCGTCCAGCGCGGCTTACTTTTCAAAAAAAACTACAAAGCGCTGCGCCTGCCAGTGAATTGCATCGCCAAACCACCCTTTCACTCTCACCAGCGTCCAGGCGCCCCCAGCGTCCTGGGCGTCTTTGACGTCCCTCGCCGTTCGCAGCGTCCCCGGCGTCCCAGCGTTCCTGGCGCCCCCAGAGTCCTGGGCGTCCCTGGCGTCCCCAGCGTC